CCCGGCCACCTTACTTTTTTAATACTCAGTGATGTTAATATTCGTTATGGCAAATCTTGCCATGCGACTTTGGAGACTCTATTTTGTTGGCTTGTTGTAGTTTACTTGTTTTTGTGGCATTAGAAACTGACATTCTCTTTTTCCTAGGTTCTTAAAATTGCTTTTTTGGTTGTGGCTCGCGACGGAATGCAACGTTAGGCTCTTAGGATGTATAATTTTCTATAAAGTTAAAATTATTTAAGCAAGATTAAAAATTGCAATTATAGGATTAAAACAAATCAATTTTCTAAAAATTAATGCAGTTCCTTTATTAAAGGGCGTCACTTTTTTTAAATTACAATTAATAAGTCTGTTCACTTACAGTGGACTATTGGCCAGTCCTGATTGGCCTTAACCTACACATAACATAGCCTTGAGTTAGCATATCAGATTTTTCCTTTTATAACATAAGAGGGATAGTTCACTTTGACAATAAGCCATCAGTACCATTCATACGTCGGGCTGATACCCATCTTCCTTTTCTATCTCCTACGCACTCTTTGGCATTTGCATAAGATTTGATAACATGGATTTCGATACGCTAGGTGGAGTTTAGCTTGGTAACCTCCGCTTTCGAGCAGGGTGGTAAATCCAGGTCGGGGCTGCTTAGATCCCTAGTGGGGCTAACGTTAATAAGTCCCCTCGTGTGTCTCTTTCATCTGTTGTGAATTCGGAGTCCGTCAATTTTTTTCTAGGATAGTAATCCTATCTTCGATCTTTTAAACTGTCAATTAATTCACGTGCATATCAAATTTTAATCACATCTTTATCCATTTCAAAAGGTCATAACTCATTCACTAGAGTATAAATAGAAAGAGACTTTTGGAATAGAATTTGGAACTTACTGTGCACCAAATATAGAAGTGAATAATACACTTCTTAATCGAGAGTTTTCTTGACGAGGTCTAAGATGTAATTAACTACGGGGGCTTGGCGCCCGTGGAAACCGATCCCCACAATCAAATAAAACCCCATTTCGATGCTGATGTATCGATAGGGGAAATCTCGATGAACTTTTGGGTTATAATTATTATTATCCATCGAGGTTGGGTAGGTGAAAAGGCCGCTTCCTCCATGGCTAATCGGTATCTATAAACTCCATCTGCTCTTATCCACTCGGCCTGCTTGTGTGAGTTGTAAGGTTTACGACCATTTGTCCTAGGATAGTGTATCGTACCTTTGCATTCGACCCACACCGAAGCGGAATCCTTTTCGGAGACCCCACAGATTTCTGGCGACCACGGTGGACCAGGTTTCTCTCTCCCCTCTTTGGATGTTGTATATTCACTTCTGTAGGTAATTCTAGTTTTGGTGCCTAATTTGGTTCCCATTTTCTATTACACTCTCCTTCTCTTAATCCTTAGCTGAGAGCTAGACCTTGTTTAATGTTTTAAAGATTTTAATTAAAATTTTGAGTTTATTAGATCTTTATTTTTTATTTATTATTCTCAAATTAAAATTCAAATCGATCTATTTTAGGTCATTCTCATTCAATCAAAGATTTCCATATCTATTCAATTTCCCTCAGTTGGATTCTTTAGACTTAATCCTTGGTTTTCATATATTTCAAATGAATGTCCATATTCTACTCTTTGGGAATTGCATAATTTCATATTTGACATACAAACTTTTAGTCCTGATCACTTCTCTTGTTTTGAGGCTCTTTAGACTAAGGGTTTGATATCACTCAGCTCCAAATAAAATTCCAAAATGCTATTTTCCCAATGGAAGGGTCTTTAATTTAACAATATACGAATTTTTCAAAAGAAAATTTAATTTGAGACAAGGTTTGAAAGTTTAAAATACAAGATAAAACTTTGAGAAAAAATTTCTTTTAAAGAGTAAGTGACTTATTTTTCTTAATGAAAGTTTTTACCTCTTTTTATTTATTTAAAACTATAAGTAAGTGTTGGATTGACTCCTTTAAAACACTTATAAGAGAATTTCTTTTAGATGATCCATAAAAGAGCATGTCTCTCCCTCCCATCCGTAAATTAATTATAATTGACAAAATACCAAAAAAACAGGTCTATTACTTCGGCAATGTTTGGCTTTTATCAAACCTAGCTTGTTTTGGTTGCTAAAATTTAATTAGATAATTACACACGTGAGTATATGTATATAATAAAAATGTTTAAACTTAATTAACCATGAATTAATAAAAATCATCTTGACATAAAATCATTGGATCGACAAAGGAATGCTCGAGGCGATGATGAGAGCCAAATCAAACCATCACAGTAAATGAGGAAGAAAATAGCCATAGCTAAACTTTGGAAGCCAATTGTTGAATCAACGAAGCTCACGTCAAAAAAAGATACGTGAAAAGCTCTGAAAATGGAGATTGATTTTTTTCACAATTTGATCACAAAAAACTTATTGTCTTAACTTTTTTTTATATATATAATAGGGCCTAAGGAAGAACATTTTATACCATCAAAAGAGAAAAATTACAACAACAAAAAAAAAAAAACCAAAAAAAAAAAAAAAAAAAAAAAAAAAAAACAAAAAAACAAAAAACAAAAAGAAAGATTAGAAGACAAAAGTAGAGAGAGTAGAACTCGAAAATAAAGAAGACAAAAAAGCCAGCCGGGCTCAGTATGACACAAGCTCCCAACCACCCAAACATCAGGCACGGACCATCCAAAGGAGGGAATAAACAACAATCCACCAAAAAGCCAAACATCAAACAACACCCGAAATAAGACCACCAAAAGAACAAGAAGATCCACCACCAATGGTTGCCAACAAGCCACGAAACCCAGGTGGTGAGCCAAAAGTCACATCATAGCCCGTAAATGAGACTAAACATCCAAATAGCCAGCAATAAAATGAATTATTTCCTTCTAGAGTTTCTTCTTCCATGTTTTCCACCTCTCAAAGCAAAAGCTTTTTCACCACTCCAATTTTCTTTCAAAATAAACATAGCCTGAATATCATATTTACAATCAAGGAAGTCTTCCCCAAATCCCCAGCAAGGTGAAGAGACATACTCCTCAAGCCAGTCATTTTGCTCCACACTTGCTAATTGAACTTTCAAGACCTCATTAGAAATTAGTGAAACAGGGACATAAAAAAAGAAGAAGCTTATTCGACGGTTCCAACAAAGTCGCATGAGAATCCATACATCCAACAGCTAAACCTGATGTTTCACAACCAAAGCTCCCATCAAAGGGCTCAACTATGGATCAACCACACGGTCCACCGACCCGTGAGGGACAATCTCATCAAAAATCGCAACTAAATCATCACAGGCATCAACATTGGAATCAGGATTGACAATAGGACTTTCTTCCAGGCATTAACATCGCAATCAGGCATTGTTTTAGCAAGTTAATCATATTTCTATGTTAGAATAAATGTTAAAAGAAGAAGCAACTAATATTAATGTTCCATTCTAAAAAATTCATGGCAATAGAGTGAGAGAGTTTTGCGTCCTAATTTTGCATGAAGATCGAGTACACAGGTAGATAAATAAAAATAACATGGGTGATATCTGAATTTTAACATGAAAACTCTAGAAAGGTGAAAAACAATGGGGTTTGGCCTAGCTGGAATAATTTTTCCACGTGTGCTTTGATTATAAAAGTTTGTTCATCCCTTGATTTGAAGACGACAATATTACAAGAATATAACAAGCTGATGAAAAATATCATGAGTAGGTGTGACATGAAAGTTGGTCAGATGGTTGTGGTTGAGTGACAATTGTCCAATCAACCCATTAAAAGTGATTGGGCAATGGAAGTTCAATGTCAACTTTATTAGGTCAAAATCTATTTTATTATGTTGTTTAGACAGCAACAGTTTGATGGTGTTGATTCGGTGGTAATGATAGTTGGTTGACTACTACTACATGATGGTGGTTAGATAGTGCTGATCAGATAATGATGGTTGGGAGGCAGCAATTAGACAACAGCGATTGGGTGACAACAATCCAGCATTGCTGGTTTGGTGGTGGCAGTGGTCCGATGATTGTGGTCCAACGATGACAGTCCGACGACGAAAATCTGACATTCACAATCAAGCAATGGTCTCGAGATAGCATTCGGGTGAAGGTTCAGCAGCTACAATCAAGTGGTGGTCTAACAGTGGCGGTTGAGTAGCAAAGGTCCAATGGCAATAATTGAGCGGCGCTTCAAGGGCTACAGTTAGGCGGTGATTTGATAATGGTGGTGCTTGGGTGGATCCCTTAATTTTCAAACCTTTGAACTCTCTTGAATCTCTAACCAATGATCCCCTTAATTTTATAAAAAAAGTCGCCGTCTTCCAATCAATGATAAGATGCATAATATGATAATAAATTATTTTATATTAACATATATTTTGATGATAATTTAAATAATAGTAAAGACAGATTTATTGCTCCTGCAATGATTAACTTTTAAACATCACACCTTTTTCTAACTGTTTGCGAAAATGAAGAATCAATGTCATTTACATCTTTGCATATTCTTTTTAAAAAAGGTTATGTCTGTAACATGAACCAATTTGTTCTTTTCCAAAATAAACTTATTGGTTTGATTTCATATTTATCTCTTTTTTTTTTTTTTTTTTTTTTTTTTTTTTTTTTTTTTTTTTTTTTTTTTTTTTGAGGTTTTACAATATTAATGCTTATATCTTTTGAATTGCAACGTAATTTTAAATTTTTAATTGTTTTTGCTTTGGCTTTGTGCTGTCTTAGAGGAGAGGATAGGTCCAATTTAAAGAAAATGACTTCTCAAATTTGTTATGTATTTCCTAATGGCCAATTAAAAAAGATTTACCTTTTTTTTTAATTTCATTATTGTCTTATTATGACATCTACTCTGACCAAAAATTATATCATAAAACAATTTTAATTTTGTTTCATAAAACATTTTTATTACAAATCGACCCCTCCGGCCTCGTTAGCTAATTTCCCTATATAAAGGGAAGCAAAGATGAATCATTGAGAGCCAAATTAATTAAGCAATAATTAATTGATGGAATTCTCATACAAGCTCTTCATCTCGGTCCTTCTCCTCCTCCTCCCAATTGCATCTTTGAGCTCCCATAATTCCTCCTCCGTCTATCAGTTAGTCTGCAACAAAAACTTCACCAACAACAACAATATATTGCAAGTCAATATCAAGAACACTGTTTCCAACCTTGCAGCACAGATTTATAACAACAATACCTATGCCATCTCTTCCTTTGGCGTAGGCTATGACACCATCTACGGTCTCATTCAATGCCGGGGGGACGCAAGCAACGAATCATGCTCATCATGCGTAGCTAACGCAGTAAATCAGATCCAAACACTCTGTCCATCTTCTTCTGAATCGCGCGTTTGGTACCCATTCTGCTTCCTTCGTTATGACAATTACAAGTTCTTCGGGCAGGCCGATTCGAGCTACACTCGCGTTTGGCCTTCGGCGCTTACCGCGACCGCACATTCTGAGACTTTTAATGCTGCAGTTGGGTTGGTTTTGGATGCGACGATGGGGTCGGCGGTGGGAAAGGATGTGAAGATTGGACTGGTTCTTACTTATGAGGTGAATTACAACAGGACTGTATATGGAATTGCTCAATGCACGCGTGATCTTGATGACGCCGGCTGCAGTTATTGCTTGGAGAAGGCTTTGGAGGCTATGTCGAATGACTGCAAAAATCATTTAGGATGCCATTTGATCAGCAACTGCTGTATGTTTAGATATGAGATTTATGATGTGTTCGTTGAGGCTGAATCGCCGAATCCAAGCCATGCAGTTTCTGCCTTAGTTTCTACTGGATATCTTAATTAGGGTTTAGGTGTTGTACGTTTTCGTGCATGAGTTAAATAATTAGCTGCAAATGCTGGATGAAGCAGCCAAGTATTAACTTATTGTGGTTTGTTGTGGATTTTAATGAAAATTAGATATGTATCTGCATTCCTATCAATGAAGAATTATTTGTAGCAACAATTGAATTAGCTGTAGTCGCCTGTAGATCATAATCATGGATGTCTACCTAAAAGCTCTCATGGCACATTTCATCCTACCATCCCAACACCCTCTCCGAAGAACTCTAGCTAGAAGGGCGATATATATCTTGTAAACATTTATAATACCTAAAGTTGTCAGGGAAATGGCTGACTTTTTCCATATATTCAAGAGAAAAGTCTCACATGCATCCTAATTAAATTGCCTTAAACCGAATTTATATTATATTTATTTTTAATCCTTTTGATTTATACTACAAAATATCTCTCTAAAATTCTTCGAGCTAGGCCACTAAGCAATATCTATTAGATAAAATGATTACATCGAAGATAGAGATAAGTATATCTATATTCTGATCACCATAAAATTTATGTCTGTTAAATTTATTTTGAAATGAGTATATTATAAAATTTAATTAATTAGTCATATATTATTGTTGCAAGCCGGAATATTTACGGTGGTAGAGATATAAAGAGCTTAACATCTTGGTTTTGAACGAAGATCTAATACACATACAAATAAAAAAGAGATGGGTACAAGAGTTATAAGAGACTAGACTTTTAAGGTGAAAAACCCTAAAAAAGGAAAAATTATTGGGTCTAGCTGAGTTAAAATGGTTTCACTAGCATTTTTCATTGATTACAAATAATAGCCTTCCTCAAGGAAATTCATTGGCTCAATGTAGAAAATATACATCGTATAGAGTACATTATATAGTTAGAGTTGAAAGAATAATGTCATGAGAATTATTTTCAAGAGATGTTGGTTTGTTTGTTTGGTCGGTAGTATTGTAGTCGGGTGAAAATGGTCGGAGGAACTGTAGCCATGTGAATGAGGTCGGAGGTACCACTATTGGTGTGCGAAGGAGGACAAAAGGATCATTGTCAACTAGCGATGGAGGTTGGAGGGACCTTGGTCGGGCGATAGAGGTTGAAGGGACTACTACATGTTGGAAAACGAAAATCAGAGGGATCGTAGTCGATGGGCGGCGAAGGTTAGAAAGACTTTATTTGGGGGTGAACAGGGGCGGAACCGGCTTTAACGGATGGGAGGGAGAGACATGCTCTTTTATGGATCATCTAAAAGAAATTCTCTTATAAGTGTTTTAAAGGAGTCAATCCAACACTTACTTATAGTTTTAAATAAATAAAAAGAGGTAAAAACTTTCATTAAGAAAAATAAGTCACTTACTCTTTAAAAGAAATTTTTTCTCAAAGTTTTATCTTGTATTTTAAACTTTCAAACCTTGTCTCAAATTAAATTTTCTTTTGAAAAATTCGTATATTGTTAAATTAAAGACCCTTCCATTGGGAAAATAGCATTTTGGAATTTTATTTGGAGCTGAGTGATATCAAACCCTTAGTCTAAAGAGCCTCAAAACAAGAGAAGTGATCAGGACTAAAAGTTTGTATGTCAAATATGAAATTATGCAATTCCCAAAGAGTAGAATATGGACATTCATTTGAAATATATGAAAACCAAGGATTAAGTCTAAAGAATCCAACTGAGGGAAATTGAATAGATATGGAAATCTTTGATTGAATGAGAATGACCTAAAATAGATCGATTTGAATTTTAATTTGAGAATAATAAATAAAAAATAAAGATCTAATAAACTCAAAATTTTAATTAAAATCTTTAAAACATTAAACAAGGTCTAGCTCTCAGCTAAGGATTAAGAGAAGGAGAGTGTAATAGAAAATGGGAACCAAATTAGGCACCAAAACTAGAATTACCTACAGAAGTGAATATACAACATCCAAAGAGGGGAGAGAGAAACCTGGTCCACCGTGGTCGCCAGAAATCTGTGGGGTCTCCGAAAGGATTCCGCTTCGTGGGCGTCGAATGCAAAGGGTACGATCACACCTATCCTAGGACAAATGGTCGTAGGCCTTTACAATCGACACAAGCAGGCCGAGGGAAGAGCAGAATGGAGTTATAGATACCGATTAGCCATGGAGGAAGCGGCCTTCACCTACCCAACCTCGATGGATAATAATAATTAAACCCAAAAGTTCACGAGATGTCCCCCATCGATACATCAGCTCGAATGGGGTTTATTTGATTGTGGGATCGGTTCCTACGGGCGCCAAGCCCCCGTAGTTAATTACATCTTAGACCTCGCGTCAAGAAAACTCTCGATTAAGAATGTGTATTATTCACTTCTTATATTTGGTAGCACAGATAAGTTCCAAATTCTATTCCAAGAGTCTCTTTCTATTTATCTTTAATGAGGGTTATACCTTTTGAATATGGATAAAGATGTGATTAAAATTTGATATGCACGTGAATTAATTGACAGTTTAAAAGATCGAAGATAGGATTACTATCCTAGAAAAAAATTGACGGACTCCGAATTCACAACAGATGAAAGAGACACACGAGGGGACTTATTAACGTTAGCCCCACTAGGGATCTAAGCAGCCCCGACCTGGATTTACCACCCTGCTCGAAAGCGGAGGTTACCAAGCTAAACTCCACCTAGCGTATCGAAATCCATGTTATCAAATCTTATGCAAATGCCAAAGAGTGCGTAGGAGATAGAAAAGGAAATGGGTATCAAGCCCCGACGTATGAATGGTACTGATGCTTATGCAAAGTGAAACTATCCCTCTATGTTATAAAAGGAAAAAAATCTGATAATGCTAACTCAAGGCTATGTATGTGTAGGTAAGGGGCCAATCAGGACTGGCCAATAGTCACTGTTAAGTGAACAGACTTATAATTGTAATTTAAAAAAAGTGCCCCTTTTTAAAGGAACATGCATTAATTTTTAGAAAAAAAATTGATTTGATTTTATATCCAATTATTCATTTGTTATCTTGCTTAAATAATTTTAACTTATAGAAAATTAACATCCTAAAGAGCCTAACGTGCATTCCGTCCGAGCCACAACCCAAACAAAGCAATTAAGAAACCTAGGAAAAAGAAATGTCAGTTTCTAATGCCACAAAAACAAAGTAAACACAACAAGCCAACAAAATAGAGTCTCCAAAGTCCATGGCAAGTGCCATACGAATATTAACATCACTGAGTAATTAAAAAAGTAAGGTGCCGGGCTCCACCGACAAACAACCCCAGGAATGACGCAAATCTTAAAAATAAGGCATTCTTATCTCTCCCAGTCTTCTTCTTCACTTCCTTGATTCGTCTTTAGATCATTCTTTAGCTCCTTCGAGCTTCCTTATATTGAATGCTCCAAAGGATGCCCAAATGAAAAAGAAAAACCCCCTATAGAAGGCGTTTTCTTTTCCCTTTGGACTCCATATACATTTAAATGCCTTATTTTAATGATTTTCACAAACTTACTATCAAATACATGTACATCAGAAGAGAAGAAAATTTCTAAGACTCTCCTGCAGGGTTTATCCTAAGCATATAATGCAAAATCATCCAAGAAAAATCGTCGACGCAGTTAACATATGAATGAAAAATGCAGCAAAAATAAATCACACTTTGGCGTGCTCTGATTATTGGGGCTAAGTAGCTTAAAGCATGTACTAAAGCAGTTATATACATTTTATTATAATTTTAGCCCCCTGTAGGCGCTGTTATGAAGCACGGCCACCTGCAGGGAAGACAGCATTAGTATAGGAAAAAGCTGTGCCTAACCTCATGGGTATTCTAACGCTCACAACACGGCAGGAAAGAAAAGAGCAGAAAAGCGGTCACAGAAAAGCATCACAGAAAAGCTACAACAAGTAGGCAAAAATAACACACAACGGGTTCACATGCAGAGCGTCACACACAGCACAAGAAAAAGAAAACAGAACAACAACCTAACCTAAAGCCTAATAGTCGTGTCTATCCAAACTCACCTAAGAAAAATGACGAAATAACGATGTGAAACTGTGTGGTTTTGGTTAGGTTCATATAGGGATAGTTTAATTAAAATTATTTTTGCATTCTTGTTGTTAAAAGGGGCAAAAGGAAATTTTAGTTAAAATTCAAATCTTAGTATTTTAGGATTGATTTTAGGATGTTTATTTTTAGTGTTTGATTAACCACCACTTTGTTTCACACCGAGGCCGTGAGGTTTATTTCTCCTCCTTTGGGGCTAAACTTAATAGCACTCGTAGGCCTGGGTGATCCCAGTGATAATTAACTTTGTTGGTTATTTTTAATTTGTTATGAAAAGAAAAGAAAAAATGGTGTATTAATCATTTTATTAATCAAGTTTCGTTAATTGATTTTAGAGGTTATTCTAAAGTTTGCTATTTAAGAAATATTTTTATCCTAATGAATTTTAATTAAAATTGGGGTATCTCTTAATTTAGATCTATTTCTTTAGATTTTAGTATTGGTTAGGAGTTGATTAATTAAATTAATAAATTGATTTAGCGTTATGTTTTAGATTTGCAATTTAATTAATTACAAATTTAATAATAACTTAATAAAAGTTAAGTGTTTTAATAGATTTTTTAAGAATAGATTAAGATTGGTTGGATTGATTATTAGTGAAATTAAGAAACAAAAATCTAAATCTAAGAAAGCATGTCACTAGGTTTTTGTTTTAATGTTTCTATCCTATAGGGAACATACACCCTAAAAATATATTTTCTAAGACTCGGTCCTTAGTTTTTGTCCTTAAGATGTCACTAGTGGTTTGTTAGAATTCAAAAAGTGATGTTGTTTTCTAATTCCTAAGACTTCTATACGAATGTCACAAGGTTTTAGGGATCTAAAAAAAAAGATCAAAAAAAACAATCCTAAATATAATTGAAAGTTGCTACAAGGCCCTAAGGGTAAGGAGGCCCGTACAATCATCTAGGCCCCCTAAAGGTTCTAAGTTTTTAAGAAAACTAATACAGGCACCGGGGGCT